GACTATATTTTATAATATAAATGTAATTTATTCTTGTGATGTCAGAGATTAATTTTCAGCATCAATACTCCAGTCTTCAGTGTTTCATGATCCTTCAAAAATCATTCCAATATGAGGATTTGGTGCTCAAGATTTTTTTTTTTTAAATATTATTATCAATGTTAAAAACAGTTGTGCTGTTTAAAGGGATAATTCGCCAAAAAATAAAAATTCAGTCATTAATTACTCACCCTCATGTTGTTACAAACCTGTAAGACTTTCGTTCATCTTCAGAACACAAAAAGATCATAAAACTATTTCATATGAATTGAGCGGTTTAGTCCAAATTTTCAGACGAGACTCGATCGCTTTATATGATGAACAGATTGAATTTAGGCTTTGTTTTTTAAAGATAAACGAAAGTCTTGCATGCTTGGAACGACATGAGGGTGAGTAAAGGATTAAATTTTTTAATTTTTGAGTGAACCATCCCTTTCATATTTGTATGGAAAACATGAAAAAAATGTCAGGATTCTTTGAAAAAGTTCAAAAGAACAGCATAAATGTCTTTACTGACACTTTTGATTAATTGAATGCATTCTTTCTGAAAAAAAAAATATCGTTTAAATCGTTTTTTTACTTACTGAACCCAAACTTTTGCACAATAATGTACGTTTATTTGGCTCATCTGATAAACACTCCTCCAAACATTTTCTCTATTTGAAAAAATAGTTAACAGCAACTTTTTTTAGCTTTGTTTTTGCAAACATGTTTTGTTAAGTTCAGCCCCGAACCAAATTGTTCAGCATTGTTCTTCGCTGTTTTCTAAACTTTCCACTGTTGATGCTTCTAATGACTGTGGTCTAGCCTATGTTCAGATGTGGTTAGTCATGAATATACTGACCAAATAGACAGCTGAAAGTCCAAAATCTTAGTCAAAGGGAAAATATTCAACTGTTTGCCCCACTTAACTCCCTACCCACAGTGCAATGGGTGATCAGGGTGCAAATTCTTGTGCTTGCCAGTAAATATCCCAGATCATGATTATTTACCAGTTAAGGCGAGACACTACAGGTGAATAGGGAATTTTTTTTAACTAGCAGATATCACCATGAAACTTTTCCAGTTGATTACCTACATTAAGATGAGAAAAAAATGTATTACAAGTTTTCTGTAATTTAATGTTTAAATATGCAAATTAGGCATTATCTAATTAAATATGCGCTAATTTGCATATATTTAAAAAAATGAAATCTGAGTATTGGATAGAGCCAGGTTCAAAATTCTTTCTTCATTGTGTTCACATATTAGATGGGGGAAAAGTTACAGAGGGATTTATGGATATCTACTTTTGTTATCCTATAAATCAGAATATACTGTCAATAGCCTTAAAAAATTATTTTTGCCATGTTTTTTGGAATAAAATGTTATATAAATCGGGCTAGGAATAATATATTTACAAATCCCTCTGTAAATGTCTTCATAATATAACTAGGTACAAGACTGGAAAGTTTGGTGTGTATAGGTGCTACAGAAGTGGAGATTTCAGACTTGGAGTATGAGAGTAAAGTCATTTGGAGAAAACGGGCTTTAAAGATTTAGCATCAGCCAATGAGATTGCGCATTTGCGCCCTTTTACTTTCACAATTGGTTGCTGATAAAAAGGAAATGACCATATTTGGATCCGACAACATTGTACAAGAGAGAGAGAGCTGTAGTAGTGAAGTGTAGTAAAATAAAGACCTAAATGTGTATTTCGGACTTTTTTTCACCACAAGTCTGAAAGAAGACATGTTTTTGAAGACAAATATCCCGAAATCTCAAAATTGACCAGTGAAAAAAAATATGTTTTTGCCTGCCGTGTCTCGCCTTAAATCTCAGTTGTATGCATTCATCAAAACACCGTTTTTAAAAGCCATATAATTTAATAAACAGAATACACAGTGCGTTTGCAAGTCAAGTTAAGTCAATATGTTGAGATAACTAACACTGATTCATGCAAGTGAATGATTGAATAAATCAGTATGAAAGAAAACAAATGTTTGAAGGACCAGGCTATAGAGACAAACCCCAGACTCGATGAATAGCATATGAATGAATCAAAGCGGATGAAAGCGGCCACTGAAATTTCATCCCCAGTGTAATTTGAACGGAGGGGGGGGGGTTTACCGTTGGACAGATTCCCAATCATCATGCCTAGTAATGTCTGTAAAGAATATGGACAGGGAGTAAATGCATTAAGATGTGTAAAAGTGAGTACGGAAAACATTCCCACAGGTCATTTAGCAGTTGTCATGCCCATCAACAGGTCAAGCGCAGCAGAGAGCAAGTATAGAGGTAAGACAGATGTCAAAATGTTTTAACAGCCAATCAGTAGACTGGTTTGTTTAGCTTGTTAAGTTTGGGGGTTTATGGACGACAACTGGAGGGCCGTCTCTATAGCCTGAGTGCCTGAACCTCACATCTTGTTACGGCGTCATCTCCTTTACACCTTTCATCCCTGCCTTAACACACACACACACATATTCTGTCACTGTCTTTATCCCATGTAAATTCAACAAGGCTTTGCATTGCATTCAGAGTAAATATGTGAAATTCCATCCTTTGGTTGCAAACAAAACCTTTTCAGTATCTGCACGTTTCTGTGTAATATGAGATATTATAGCACATATGGTATGGCATATGGTTGGTGCGTTCATTATGCTCTCATTATGTAATGCAGTAATAGCACCTTGGACTCTTGATATTGGTTTGCAAGGGTTGCGTCACATGTTGGGTTTGTTAGTTGTATCTCCTGGAGCCAAGGAACATGCGGGGCTGTGTAATTGCTGTAGGAGTCACGGTCACTGCCCTTTTTCTCTGTTTACTCTTTGCAAGTGTACCTGCTTTCGCCAGTACAGTTTATTCTATGACGGGTTATGTAATATTCAGTTTTTTTTTTAAATACCAATTGTCCGTGTGATTTAATTTGCAGCTTTTAGGTAGCATTAATAGAGATTGAATAGAGTTGGGTTATTCCACACTAGTATCACAGAAATGTTGATCATTTGTATAGGCCTAGCAGCCAAAAGAAATGAATGAAGAAAGCTTTGCAATAGTATCAAACTGCAAGAAAGAAACCTGTTGGGATATAGGCTATTCAAATAAGTATAGTTTTCAATCGTTTAAGATAGATTGCATTCCAAGTCTATTATTATATCAAGTCTATCGCAAGATCGCTATTTGTCAAGGTAACCACAGCAAAGGCCGCTTGATCGCTGTCTCTATCGCTGTAAGAACTATTATTATTTATAATTTATTACAGATTATATATCACAAAAAAATCACAATAATTAGTTTAAACCGCCTTGACGCCTCGGAACGTCAACCGATTAAAAATGTCTGCCAATTACAAAAGTTGAACTAAATCTCATTATTAGAGATCACTGTTAGTAAAGTCATTGAATAATTCGCCTAAATAACAGATATAAATGGAAAGTGTAACGTCATAACATTGCGCAAGTTGAGCCCTAGTGAGAAGACATGATAACATGTGCTCGGGTTGTGTGGATAAGGACCAAGCTGAGCTTCAGTAACAGTCTTTCCCTTCTTCGACAGCAAAGGAGGCCCCACTACCCAACTTGGGGGCAAACTTTGCTGGAGAGGAAGAAAAACACTGTTGTTTCAACACCACCACCAGCAGCTGTACTACTAATGCAATGAGAAAGGCTGTGGAGGATGTATGGCAAGCTGTTTTAACATTTAATCCTTAAAACATACTAGTATCTATTTACATGATATCTATTCCATTAGATACTAGTACTTATTCATTAGATACTAGGTCTTATTTTTTAGATACTAGTAACTTTTTAGACCAAAGATATCTTGAATTTAATATGTATACTTTTTAAATGTAGCCTACATTTCTGATTAGTATATAGACCTTATCTTTGATTACTGTTATTTCATGAGTTTTTGGATTGTTCTGCTGATGAAAAGCTGCAAAAAATATATTTCCGAGAAATTTTAGTAGACAAACATGAGGTGTGGAACATTATAAGTGATCTAGTAGAAGCTTTATACAGCTTTTTACGGCGGATCCAAATGAAAAAACACACAGTAAATCCCTGACAGACTTAATTTTATACCTGTCATTGCGCTGCTCTGAATAAGATATGCTAATAATACACTGAATATTAATGAACCAATAAGAGAAAGATCGGAAACAAGAAGATGACACTATAGAGGTGATATGAATTCATTAATTTTTTTATCCATACTATATATATGAATTATATGACACAAATATATTTTTAATTTATCGTTTTTAAGCCATTATGTTTCACTGTGTGCCCGTTCTCGTGTTTCTTTGATGTTATTATTGATTCATTATCATAGTAGTATGAGTCTACTCTGATACCACTGTCATTATACGAATTCGCTGTATTAGAGACACCGACGGCGCAGAAAACAGTGAATGTACAAGCAAAGTAGTTTTACCAATAATAAGACCATCTCTGGTTTTGCTTCTGTCTGACAGAAAGAACGACTAGTAAACTTTAGAGATAGTTCACACAGAAATGAAATTTTTGTCATCATTTACTCACCAACAAGTTTTCCCAAACCCGTATGAATTTCTTTCTTCTGCTGAAAACAGAAGATATTTTGAAGAATGACAGTACCAAACAGTTGATGGACCCCATTGACTTCTATAGTAACACAGTCAATGTGGTCCATCAACTGTTTGTTTACAAACATTCTTCAAAATATCTTCTTTTGTGTTCAGCAGAAGAAAGAAACTCATACAGGTTTGGAACAACTCGAGGATGAGTAAATAATGATTTTTTTTTTCATTTTTGGGGTGAACTATCTCTTTAAGAGACGCATCATTCTATTAACAACATTGTGCTATTATCTACCATTTCACACGTAGACTATTTATTTCATTACCCAGGCGGATTAAGATGCACTGACATGCAAGATGCAATTAAACGAAGCGTGGCACGTTAACACCTAATTTCACACACATTTCCCAGACTTACTCTTGCATTGAAGTTCGACCATCGCCTGGTACCATTCCTCCTGATCCGTCTCGTTCTCCGCCGCCACCACGAAACTCTCAGCCCGTGTGTAGAGCACTATCATGTGCTTATTCTTCGAGTCGGCCCGTTTGTTGATGTTGAAGCACGTCTCCAGCGCAAGAGCCTTTTTGGGCACGGGAGCTTTACCTCGAAATTTCTTCTCGCTTTCATAGTATTCGAGTCGGGCCGGGCCGCGTTCAGAAGCCGTCCGTAACACGAAGTACCGCCGGTGCATGGACTTCTGCTTGCGGAGATACCCGCTTTTACGGACGTCCTCGGTGCTATTCTGCAAATCTGCCTGGTTCTCCATGACTCGCGGGGTCTGTTTCGCTCAACCACGGCGAATAGCTCACAGTTAAATCCCGTTAAAAGTCGCAAACGACAACAAACGCAACCTCCGTTCCTTCTGAAAAGTCATGTGCGCATTGGGCGAGAGAGGGTCCAACAAGCAGTTTCTTTCCAAAAGTCCTGTCATCAAACGCTGCGCTTTTCCTGAGCAGGACGAGAACGCGCACACGCGAGCACATGTGCGGGAAACAGCGCAACTATACTACTATTTAGAAGAAGCTTTAGTTGAGTTGAATAATCTCATTACTGGAGCGTACAGTAGACAGGTCCCTGTCACCCCTCCTCTCCAGCGCAGCGTTCACTGCTACTGTGTGAAGCTCTGTCAATCATCAGTCTGCTGTAGTTTATGCGTGTGTGTGTGTGTGTGAGAGAGAGAGAGAGAGAGAGAGAGAGAGAGAGAGAGAGAGAGAGAGAGAGAGAGAGAGAGAGAGAGAGAGAGAGAGAGAGAGAGAGAGAGAGAGAGAGAGCTGTGCAGAGCACGAGGTTGCGGACCACAATCGGATTTCTTTCGCCTCTAGATTGTCCTGACTCAAAACTGCCTTGAACAAATTTCACTTTTTTTAAAGGGTCTTAACCCTTTTGTTAGTAGCAGTACTTATTAAAGCGAGAATCCTTTTCAGTGTCACTAACTATTGATTAGACTCTAATAGTGATTAGTACGTATTTAATGACATATATATTCATTTGCTCCCTTTGCTTCCAGTCAATTTTCCCATTAACTAAAACAGTACCACTTTACAATAAGGTTTCATTAGTCAACTGCTTACTTTAGTTAACATGAACTAAGAATTAGCGTGAAATTACAGTATATTCCAGGTTAATAATTGCATTACTTTTACATTTCAAAGTAGGACTTTTCCTATCTAACTGCACTAAAAAAAAGTGCAGTTGTCAAAAAAACCTTGGTTTTACTGTAAGTTTACAGTATTGGAAAACACTATTTACTTTAAACAAACAACATCATTCTGTATTTCTCCAGTGCACATGTACTAAGTTACCCAGCATGCAGTGCGGCATGAATAGATTATGCTTTGGATTTTCATGATTCTTGTTGGTTTTATCTGAGCTACTGTTGAACTTATTTTTTCTTTGCTTTTAGCAGTTTGTGTTGTTGGTTTATTTAGTAATTTTGGTTTATGTTGTATGAATGTTTTTATTATTTGTTGAGTGTCACCATTGTTGTGTTTTGTGCATCATTAGGTGAGGTTTATAAGATTATATCATCTTTCAATGATGAATTTCAGCAGTTTCTTCACTATCGTGAAAGATCCATCTATAAACATGAATTTGAAATAAGTTATTGGTAAATGTTCAATAAATAATACTAAAACAAAATATTCATGCTTGTGGTGATTAGTTTCATTACACTGTAAAAAGTGATCGGTTGTAGTGAGGAAACCTGTTGCCTTGGAATTATTAAGTAAATAATCCACGCGTGATTAAAAAAAGTTCACATAACTTAATTTATAACATAAGGAATAAATGTTAATTGTTACCATTGTCGTCATAAATATCGTGTTATTTTATTGCGGATAAATAGGCGTGACAATAGAGCAATTGTCCACAAGACTGAGTTCAAAAGCAAGCGTTGTTGTAATAACCCTTTAATACATTCAGAAGATGCCACACATTTTTGGTTTTACTTGCCAAAAAAACAGGTTTGTCTAGACATTATAAATAAGTCAGTAATGCAGCTGTACATCATAATTGTAATTCTAAAAAAATAAAATAAACAAATAAAGGGAACACTTTATTTTACAGTGTCCTTGTTACATATCTTACATGTATTTACCATAGTAATAGCAGTAAAATATGCATAATAACATGCAACTAAACCTCAACCAAACCCTATAGTAAGTACATGTTGTTAATCAATACTTAGATATATAATTACACTGTAACAACGACACCTTAAAATAGCGTCTTAAATAAAATCTTAATATTCTTTATTGAATACTGTATCGTGATTTAATCATATTAAAATGGATCACCTCTGACATCTAGTGGACTAACTGGTCCATTGCAATATTTGACAACGTGAACAGAAATGATAGGATTTTAGGTTCAAATGTACGTTAAAAGGCGGTGCACATATTTTTAGAAGCTGCAATGGTTCGCCAAATCAACTTTATATAAGTACACAAATGCTTCTCTCTTAATTCTTCTAGGTAAAGCATAGCATTTTTGCAGTTTGCCTTTTTCCACTAACAAGCTATTTCAATCTAGACTGCAATCATAAAAATTACTCTAGGTCAGGTGAGAGGTGAAATTGATCCGTTTCATTTTAATTTTCAGTTGAAAGCCCTAATGTTCATAGAGTGCAAATACATTCGTAATGCGATAATGATCTTCACAGAAAAATATAAACGGAGCTGTCGTAAAAAGATATTGCATGACATTTCAAAAGCAGCAAATTCAATTGGATTTGCATCACATGGACAATCAGATACACGTAGACGCAACAATTATGGATAGCTTTATGCAGATGCATACATCTCGATACAAAGACATTCTATATGAATCCTTTTGCAAAAGAAACCATCTCTACGTTATACAGGAAACTTGACGATATTAGACAATTTTTGGTCCATACAAGAAAGGTTTTTTTCCCCTCATAATCACTGAAACTGCAGTACATTCAGCAGCTTCCGGCTCAGCTTGAGAAGCGCATGCAGTCTGACAATGCACACAGGAATACTTACTAACGCTTCAAATGAGCGTCAAAATAAATAGAAACAAGCCCGGCATTCATACACGGACACGTAAGTGGCGAAATGCCTGTTTCGTATATGCCGTCTTATTAACATGCATCTGAATCAAATAAACCAAATCGGCACTGAGGGGAAAATGCATTACTGAGATGATCTGAAGCTTGAATTGCTACTATTGTATTGAAATGTGTTGACCTCAGTGTACGAGTGAAGTAAGTGGGCACTCAGGTTAGGGCGATATTGGCACGAGAAGTTCAGTTTGAGTGTGTGTGTGTGTGTTTGTGTGTGAGTGTTAATGGTTCTCATAAGCACCTTTCATCTGAAGTTCTCCTATTATCAGCAAAAAAAACAACACTGATATAAGGCAAAACCCACAAACATGTGCGCACACACACACACACACACAGCTTGATTTACTGTATAGCATCTGGTACAAAAGGGCACGTACAAACACACTCTCACACACACACACACATACAACAAAGCATGTACAGAGTTACATGTACAATATCCGCTAACAAACAAACAAACACCCACACCTTTAAACACACACGAAGACACATACACACGCAGAAGTGTTGGATGTTTTCTGTAGGTATGGCAAAGTAAACAAGCTCCACTCGCTCTCCTCGTTCTCCATGGCCGGTTCGGGATCAGATGAAAGGGTTTAGTGATGCTCCTCTGCTCGGGTAAACATTCCCCTAAGAGAAGCGATGGAAAACACTCGTAACCCCTGACATTCAGTCTGCAAGTGATTTATGATTTATTATAGGCAGAAGCTTATTTACTACACTGTTTTACTGACTCTTAGCATAGAAAGAGGATCATGCTTACAGTAAAAGGGTTGACAGACATTGGTCGTGGGACTTTGGGGACGGACTCGGGGGCAGGAAATGAGTTGAAACCTACAAACAGGATAAAAATAGCACACAAATTTCAGTTCAGATCAACAAAACTGCATCTCACTTCGATCATCTTGAGTTTTCGCTCTGCAGTGAGATGCTGGAGATGCTCATTCATGCCTTCATTTCCTCCCGTATTGATTATTGTAACTCACTTTTCTCTTCACTTAACAAATCTGTTCTTCATCGACTGCAATCCATTCAAAATTCAGCTGCTAGGTTACTTACTCGTTCAAATAGGCGCACCCATATCACCCCGATACTCTGCTCCCTTCACTGGCTTCCTGTAACTTACAGGATCCAATTCAAAATACTAACCATAACCTATAGGGCTTTACATGGCCAGGCCCCTGCTTATCTTGTTGACATAATTCATTTTCATACCCCTCTCCGGTCTCTCAGGTCTAATAATCAAAATCTGCTATCTACGCCACGCACTCGTTTAAAGACATGTGGGGATAGAGCCTTCGCCGCTGTGGCACCCAGATTATGGAATGCTTTGCCAACCAGTATTAGGTTTGCTGAGAATGTGGACAGTTTTAGGGGACAAGTGAAGACTCATTTGTTCAGGTTAGCTTTTGGGTAATCTCTGTACTTTATATATTGTTAATTTTATCTGTTTTATTTTATTTGTATCCATTTTTGTCTATTGTAAAGCGCTTTGTGACTTAGTCTGTGAAAGGCGCTGTATAAATAAATTTTACTTACTTACTTACTTACAGTGTCTCTTCTTAAGTGCTGATTCCATACCGATTCTTTTCATTGATTACTGGACTATTTAAAGAACGGGTTTCACTGCCATTTAGCAGATTTAAAGACTTAAGCTTGCTTTACTCACCGTTGGCTTCCTGGTTACTGGACTGTTGGTGTGAAAAAGCACTTTGGGTGACAGATGCAGGAAAAGAGACGGACTGAGGAAAGACAGCTGAGGAGGACACGCCATCTGTCAATCAGAAAGACATGAATATAGAGTTCAACACTTCACAAACATGCAAACTGACTTTGACATCCATCCATCTATCTATCTATCTATCTATCTATCTATCTATCTATCTATCTATCTATCTATCTATCTATCTATCTATCTATCTATCTATCTATTTGTATATGTAGATACTATGGAGTCAGGCAATAGATAGATACTGATAATTTGTTTTACTTTTAATGTCTGTCTATCTATCTATCTATCTATCTATCTATCTATCTCTTTCATATCTATCTATCTATCTATCTGTATATGTAGATACTATGCAGTCAGGCAATAGATAGATACTGATAATTTTGTTTTACTTTTAATGTCTATCTATCTGTCTATCTATCTCTATCTATCTATCTATCTATCTGTCTATCTATCTCTATCTATCTATCTATCTGTCTATCTATCTATCTATCTATCTGTCTTTCATATCTATCTATCTATCTATCGGTCTATCTATCGGTCTATCTATCGGTCTATCTATCTATCTATCTATCTATCTATCTATCTATCTGTCTGTCTTTCATATCTATCTATCTATCTATCTATCTATCTATCTATCTATCTATCTATCTATCTATCGGTCTGTCTGTCTGTCTATCTATCTATCTATCTATCTATCTATCTGTCTGTCTATCTATCTGTCTATCTATCTGTCTGTCTGTCTGTCTATCTATCTGTCTGTCTATCTATCTATCTGTCTATCTATCTGTCTGTCTATCTATCTGTCTATCTGTCTGTCTGTCTGTCTGTCTGT